TCAAATAGTTTTTTTACACATGAGCACAGAAAGAAGCCTGAAGCAGGACTTTCTCCAGGAAAGAATTTCTGTTACTCCTATCTTCCCACCCAGCAAGACAAAAATATTTTTTGGTTAACAATTGATTACAGGAGCATTTTACTGTATTAGGGATAAAAGCAAAACATATCAAAGAGTAATGCTGATTGTATAATGGTTACAGATTTTAGTGCAAGTCCAAACATACAACGTGATTCCCTCTTATTTATTCCCTAGTACTTGTAAATCATACAACACAAATAAATAGGAGGCAAGCAAAACAGAAATTATACAAAAGACAGATTAAGGCACAGTCCCTTTAACAATATTTCAGTGTAAATATGAGTCATTTATTTGGCATAATGTGTGCTGGTCACAACTAGCACTGGTTATTAATACAGAACAAATGGCAGGAAGAAAAGGTTAGGAGACTTCACCAGGGGATTTTGGCTAATGCATTCAATGACCAAAAATCATCAGTTCCATATTTATAACATACGTTTTACTGCTAGAGCTAATACTTGTGATAGATGGCAATAAAGGCTACATGTTGAAAAAAGGCCTTTTTTAACTCTGTTAAGCATGATAAAATTAGCAACAGAAAAATAGTAGTGTGTACAAATTATTGGCTTTGTTCAGAGAAGCTTCATGGGACAAACTCAAGCATTTTTTTTTTTAAATGGGGCAGAGTAGGGAAGGGTTACAAACTTTGCTGTTTTTTTTTCAATCTGTCTCCAATGGGGCAAAGTCTTCTTAATTCCTGTCCCTGTGACAGGGCGTCACCTGAATGGGGAATCTCTACACTGGGACAGTGATAAAGAATACTTTTTATTTAGATCGGTGAAAGGATGGACCCTCCTTTGGGTTGTGTGCTCACTCTGTGTTCCTGTCCTGGGAATACCAGTTGTCTACTTTTTTTTTTTTTGTTTTTTAACTGCCACAGGTTTAGGAGAGGAGGACAAACCTAGATGGGAATAATGCAAACTGATAACCGTGCAGCACAGGACGTTTTCAGCTCACAAAATGTCTGGCAGGATCAACAGGTTTTTTTCACTTATTGAACAGATCTAACAAAATGTTTTCAATTGTATATATTTAACAGATGGAAGGGAGCAAATCAGTTTAATTGTTAGGGTTTACATATACTAACATTTACCAGCATGAATGAGAATACTGTACTCTGTAAAATATGTGGGTGCTTGTATTTTCTGGTCCCCAGAGGCATCTGTCTACTTAGGTCTAAAGTAATAACCTGGCTGTTGAAAATGGGACCTGTGTTATAAATGGGAACCCTTACTTGGGTCAGCAGCATTTTACTAATAAGTCTTCTAGTGCAAGGTTTCCAATCTAGGGTACTTTGGTAGCACATTTAGGAGAAAAGGGCTGTGTCAGTGATTTAAATGTTTGATCCATGGAGCAATCCCGCACCCTTATTTTCTGACACCCATTCTATGGTTGCGGGTGCTGGTACCTCAGTCGGTCCGTAGTGAAGTGATATGCCTTCTGTCTGCATTGCACTTGGTGATGTAAGGCTTGGATGCAGTTGCATGGAAACCTATGCCATAAAGCTCTCTAGTCACTGTTGTGCTAATCTGAAGGCCACATGAAGTTTGGAGGTCTTTAGCTATTGACTCTGCAGACAGTTGGCAACTTCTGCGCACTGTGTTGTTCAGCGTGCACTGGCACCGCTCTGTCATTTTACATTCGTGGCTGAGTTGCTGTTGTTCCCAGTTGCTTCCACTTTGTTATAATACCACTAACAGTTGACCGTGGAATAATTAGTAGCAAGGAAATTTCACAGATAGACTGATTGCACAGGTGGCAACCTATCACAGTACCATTCTTGAATTCACTGAGCTCCTGAGAGCGACCCATTTTTTCACAAATGTTTGTAGAAGCACTCTGCATGCCTAGGTGCTTGATTTTATACACCTGCGGCCATGGAGATGATTGGAACACCAATGATTTGGAGGGGTGTCCCAATACGTTTGGCAATATAGTGTATGAAAGAAGAACAAACCTTACTAAAGAAAAAAAAGGAAATGGTTTGAATTGCCAAGTAGATTGTGATATCTTCCATAATTGCAACTGCCTAAAGTCAGTCATAGTTACATAAGGGGAATGGTAATGATATATGTCAATTGCAATACTGATCAAGCTGCTTTGTACATGGAACGATCTTGTTTGCAATGCAGCTGTATAGAGATCATGGAATGACTGAGCCTTAGTGATAGGTTCATCCAAAAATGTTCCACCATAATTTAATCTCTTTGTCCCATGAGAAAATGGAATGCCTGTTTTGCTAGGCACACACCAACACTAATTTCATCTACAGTCTGCTTATTTATGCTGAGCTATAAAGCAAACCTACAAATTCATTAGTCACCAGAACAGCATCTGATGTCTTCTTATTAGTTAATACTGGAGTGAGGTAACCTATATCATTGCGTGCATGGCCATGACAACCAACAAAAATTGGCTTCATCACCTGTTGAGGCCACTGCCTGGCTGGAAAGGTGTCTCAAAGTATATTCAGAAGGTAGAACAGCCAGCAGGTATCAGAACTATCTTTTAAAGCCGTTGATACAAAAGCAGGTTGGGTCATGTAGCCTTACGCCTCTTTGTGGAAAGCCAAGTTGCAGTACATTTGTCTAAATTCCCACTACTCTTTCGTTCATTGATGGACACAGCCTCTCTTCTCTTCTTATCCATGACTAGTAGCGCCACCTACAGGAGTAGGACACTAGGCAGAAAAAAACTCGGCCCCTCTTATGGGTAGTCCTCTCTGGATACAACCCCATCGCTGCTATAGGGGCAACTAGGGGCGGATTCTATTATGACGCTTACTGCTACCTGGGCGTTCCTGCATCAGCCATTTCTGTCTCAGGTTTGCAAAGCGAGGACCTGGTTGTCTGTGTACACCTTTACTAATTTCTTCAGTTGGGCTCCTTCAGTGTTGTTTTTAGGTGTTGGCATGTTGCCTGGTTGTCTCTTGTTTGGTTACTCACCCCTCATTTTGGCACTGCTTTGGGAAGTCCCTATTAGTCAAGAATAAGAAGATATGTGGTGTCCATTAATGAACAAAAGAGAAAACAGAATTGTTTTGTTACTCACTGTAAAACACATTTCTCTGAATTCATTGATGGACCACAGCACCCAACCCTCTTTGGAGATTTTACTTCTAACACAGCTTTGTGACTAACTGGTTTGCCTATAGCAAAGAGGAGGTTTTATCCAATGAGGACTACCCATAGGAGGGGCCGGGTTTTTTATGCCTAGTTTCCTACTCCTGTAGGTGGCGCTATAAAACCTATTAGAAATAAGAAAAGAAGAGAGGCTGGGTCTGTCAATGAACTCAGAGAAGGGGATTTTACAGTAAGTAACAAAAAATCCAGTTTTTATGGAAGCAGTGAATAGAATCGGCTGTGGGATGACTGCTTCCGCTTGCCAGTTTAGACCTTTGCACAAATGCATCTTCAGTCTCATCATTTGTCCATAGTTCCTCTAAAACAGGGGTCTCCAAACTATGGCCCTCCAGTTGTTGAAGTACTACAAGTCCCATCATGCCTCTGGAAGTCTTGCCTGTGGCTGTCAGTCTTGCGAGGCCTCATGGGACTTGCAGTTCCTCAACACCTGGAGGGCCATAGTTTGAAGAATCCTGCTCTAAAATAAAGGGTAGCGAATTTAAGGTACAGTTTTCAACAGAGAAGTTCTGAAGTATTCTTAATTATTTTGTGATTATGTTTGGTCTTTTTTTTGTCTTTCCAGTGACATCATGTTATTTGGGAAACCAATAAAAGCAATAGCTTCAGTAAAGTTAATGAGATTTTCCTTTATATTGATCTGCAGCCACCAATATTCTAGTTTTGCCCTAAAAATGGTAACAGACTAGAATGCTAGAATGCTATAAATGGAATAAACCATTTACTTACTATCTTCAGTGCAACAATATGTAGTAGCTCTCCCTTATCACCAGCTGGGCATTTTGAAAATTTTGTGAGAAACAGATATTATTGAAATCTATACCCTGATAATGTATTGGTGAGAATCTTTGATGGGCTCCTTGAAACTCTCATGGTAGTCATGGTAGCTTACAGACTTGTTTTAATGCCAATAATCGAAAAATATACGGGATGAAAACAATTCCCATGATCTGTCAAAATCCATTCAGACATTAACGAGACAGAATAAAACATTTGGTTATGCAATAGCATCTGTCAAGTATATATGCAGTTATTATACAGTTGCTGCCACTATTTCCGGTGCAACTCAAGTACTAAACATTTGAGTTTTTTGAGATTTTCAGACATGCTAATAAACATGTATGGCCAAATCATTTAAGAGCTCTTCCAACCTTTACTTGGGTCGAATGGCTGGAACTTAGGATGCCGCAGCACCTTTTATGTCCCAATATATAACCTGATGCAGTACAACAGACAGCATTCGAGAGTCAGCATTGTTCATGAACCCATCACCACTGGCAGCACAGTACTTGTCTGCTTTACCGACACTAAAAAGAAAAAATCACCAGCAATTATGTAACTCTCAATTAGTGTGATTGTGATGCAAGTTTGAAATTTAATTTGCCAGCATTCTTTCATGATGTAAGATCAAGCTTGTGAATAGGTGGAAAATCAAGACAAATCTTGCCTGGATCTGCTTTTGTTTACATGACTACAAAGTAAATGCAATAACAAATGGCCCTGACACCATGGATCTTCCTAGTTACATAAGGAATTGCCTTCCATATTCAAAACAAAATAATATATTCCTATATAAAAACACATGAACTTGCATAGCATTAGACAGAAAGCTGAAGGGTAGGAGATGAACACCAGTGGCTCTCCAGATATAGTTGACCCACTAGAGCACCAAGAATGGGTTGCCTTTCGCAGGAACAAGAAGAAAGTCCATGTAAAACTAGTGTGCACAAAAATTCTGGGGATCTTCTTCATCCATATCTCCTTATGTAGTTATGAGTCTTATATCACTTTTTTCCCCAGCTTGGCCATTCTAATTCTCAATGCTGTAGATAAAAAGAACACAATCAGAGCCATATTTTCTTTATGTAATTTATAGAAAAAAGCAGACTTGCCAGTCATTGAGCTTTTTGTAAAAATGCAAAGTTATAAGCACCTCCAAACTGTGCTTGCATAAGATATCATTTTTTTCCCTTTAAAATATTTTTTTCTTGAAAGGAAATCTGTCAGTGTATCTGTTAGCAAGCTTAGCAGGGGGGTCTATCTAAAACAGAACAATGGCATTATTACGTAAGACTTATATAGACCTAAGACTAGTCCTGGATAGGAGCCTCAGCCATTACAGGTATCAGATTCATTTTGAAATGAAACATCACATTTTTTTAAACACCCTTTCCTTTCAGTATGCTACATATATCAAGCTGTAGTCAATTCTGCAGGTATCGTTCAACCGCTGAAAGGTCTATTTGACAAAGTATCTTTCTATAAACATGCATGCTCTGGCCATTCAAGTTTTCATGTTTATATAAACACACATTAACAAAAAAGGGATAGCTAGAAAACACCCCATGGTGGCAACTTATCTCTGGAAAACAATATGAATTTGGCTGAAAAAAAAAAAGTCGGTTGATTGTGGATAAAGATTTGACTGGTGGAAGATTCATCCAAGGGAAACAAGTCAAGCAGTCCCTACAGACAATAATTCCCCAGCCTAACTGTAAATAGTTAACTTAGGCACAGATCGACTTTTGCCCAATGTCAACTTTACAGCAGCAAACATGCTCTAGGAAAGGTAAGCAAGTACGGACAGCCTAGTAAAACCCTTCCCATTTTTGTTAGTGTCCTGAAAGAATGGACATCTTATATTCTCTGAGAAAAGTAAGTTACTTCTTACATTTTTCTACCTTTCACCTTAACCAAGACATTGTTCTATCTTCTCTCTGTCCTGCTTCTAAACATCCTATGGAGATTTCTCTCCATTGTCTGGATGTGGTGCACACTGTTCAAGCTCATCTCACTTCAATAGCTCCCGTTTGACAGTCTCATTGTCTGTTTGCCATTCCTGAAGGTCAAGTCTGTGACCTCAAGGGCAAGTTGCTCCTTTTCTTGTTCAAAGTGCACTCCACTGGATCAGGATCAGTTTGTGCTTTATGGGCTTTTTAGCATCAGCAATCTATTTCTCAGATTTGCAGAGCTGACATCTGGTTTTCTGTTAACAGGTTCATTAAGCTTTACCAGGTAGACGTTCAGGCCTCAGTTGATGCTGGCTTCATTTTTTGGGGTTCTTCAGGCGGTTCTGTTGAGCTCCCTCTGTTACCTTGTTGGATTTTGTGGGCCTGTTATCTTGTGCTGTATGTTATGGTACACAGGTCTCTTCCCTCTGTTCTTATGACCTACTCCTATACTGCTTGCTAACAAAACTGAGGCATGCTGGGAGTGGGAGGGTTTATACTACTATACAGTTTTGTTTTTCCAGTGTCCAATCTCTTGATAGCAGCCGCATAACCCAATGTACCTGAATTACTTCATCCTGTGTCCATTAATACACTCCAAGAAAAGAAAAAGTAAAAAAATCCTATTATTTTTTTTCCAAAATTTTGATTTACACTTTTTTGATACTTTTTGATAAGACTTATAAAACAGACTGCTCTGTCTAGGTCAACCAAAATTTAAGCAGTGTTTGGCCCTGCCATCACCGCTCTGTATGACAAAGGTCGATTGATCAGTTGACTTTGATCAAAGAAGGCTATTGGAAAATTGCTGGCCAGACATTGCCTGTGTCCAATTAGATGTAGGCACTGTGTTGATATTTTGACAGCCGACAGCACTGTTGTCAGAATACAATAGCATACTATGGGTATTAGTTCATCCACTTTGTTTGCAAGCTGAATGGAAGATATCTATACATGAATGAGGAATTTGCACTGACAGCTATTACATTCACACAGTTGCAGTAGCAGTGGCTGCCTGAAAACCCAAATATCAACTGCATCTGATATGATGCTGTCACTGTTTAGCCAATCATTTTCCATCGGCTTAGTTGATTATACAATCAATTTTTTGTTGCTGTCAACAGTGACACATGTGGCTCAAATTATAGCTGATTTGGCAGGAATCACCCAGAATTCGAGCTGTGTATGGCTAGTATTTTATTCCTTCATAGACCTCAGTGCCTTTAGCTCTTTTTTTTTTTTTGTTCACAAATGCACATGATGTTGTGGGTAATAAATGTGCATTTATTTTTTTTGTTTACACAGAAGCCTGTGGATCTTGGATGCAATCTCATAACCCTGCAGACACTGCCTACAGCTCTCTGCCAGTATCTCTATATGGGCAGACAGTTACTGAGCTGCAGGAAGTGTCAATGGACTAGAAGAGGGCACTGCTCAGCGCACTAGTCTATTTACTCAGTGGTAGAAAGGACTTGTAGTTTATTCATTCACAGCTGCGCCAATTTTAAATGTGACACCGACTGTGGGAAGAACCCTCGTCTGCTGTTACAGGGAAAGGAGCTCTGGGGGTGAGGGGGCTGGTGATTACCAACATGTTACATGGTACACCCTAAATATGTGTATAACATGTTGGTAAAGGTGAACCTATCCTTTAAAGTGGAACTAAATGCTCCTATCCTTTACAGCCAAGGAATTTGCCATCTTAGCCTCTGTTTGATTTGCACTTGCCATGGTGCTGCACATGTGATCAATTATAGCACCAGTCATTTGATGACTTTACATTTTGGTTGAATGCACAAGCAAATGTGACAGTCGTCATTCACAGTGTGACTTGAATGTAAACATTTTGGGAAATGGTTAAATCAAAGGGTTTAGTTCCGCCTTGGATGTGAATGGCTGTGTACCACCTTCAGAAGACCTACTTATCTAGGCTACGGTTATGCAGAAATCTGGATTAGTTTACATATGATTACTATGTCATAGCTGATACAATGGTCACATAATTGAAAAAATTTCCCACAGGTCAATGACAGCCTGGGACTGACAGCTACCAGCCACACAAAGTGTCCGCTGATGACTTTTAAGAGGATTTGGGGTTATAAACGTATTCCCAGCATGGGGTAAGCTATTATACCAATTGTGGGTGAAAAGGGGTTACTGGCTTAAGCAGGTGTGCAGACCTAAAAAATGAAAAACTGCATTTTACTGTGCGGGCCTTTGTGAATCTAGCTCAGAGACGCATAGCAAACCCTAAGGTATTTTTTTTGAAGTTTACCAAAAATTGAATACCATGCTTGGGTAGATGTTATTCATTTTGTTGTAATAGTGTTGGTATCCTTAAGTGGAAGATACTTAAGAATATTAGTATATTTAAATTAAATTACAATAATTGTACATTGTAAGTTTAAACTACACAAAATTATAATATAGTCATGAAAGAAGGCTGTTTCACAGTGATTTGAATAGGATCATTCTTATGATTTGTTAAAATTTATGATTTACACATAAGGCTGATCACATATTTGTGCCGATGTCATAAGTAATTACTCCTACACAAAAATCAGTACATGAACGTGTACACATGAGAAAATATACACCTGCCAATGGAAATAAGTATGAGCAATCATTAACCATCACTTGAAGATGTCATACATTTCCATGGCATATCACTTATCACAGTAATATGGACCATAGTATTTGTAGTCTACAAATATAATGTAGTTTTTGCGTCGATTGAGAAAATGTCTTGCAATAAGTAAAATTAGAAAAAATACATAACAGTTCCCATGGAGTGCTTAATATTTAATATAAAATGTGAAAAGCACGGTGTACACAACTCCTACATCCATGTGTGTGCTGTTTCTTTTCTGTGATCAAGTCTCTACAGCAATGGTCACAGTAAATGGCGTGAGAGTTGAACAAATATACTCCACATTGATGATTGCTTTCATGCGAGTGGTCACCTGACCAAGCAGTGTTGTAAAAAACATTGCTCCATCAAAAAAGTTTGCCTCCTCCCTGCTCCTTGTATCAAGGAGCAAACAGAAAACAAATGAATTATTCATGAAATAAATAAGTAGGCTACAACTGTTGAGTTCCTTCTGAAAAAGCTAGATACCTGGTTGTCTCTAGATTCAATACTTTAATCCAGTGGCCTAGAGCATTGGTCCTTCCCCTCATGCCAAGGTGCTAGGCGTAATCCTAGACTCTGACCTCTCCTTTGGGCCCCACATCCACTCACTGGTTAAATCCTGCCGCCTCAACCTCAGACACGTTTCCAAAATCCGCCCCTTCCTGACCAATGACACCACAAAACAACTTATCCACGCCTTGGTTTTATCCCGCCTCGATTACTGCAACTCCCTCCTCACTGGTCTACCGTTACACAGGCTATCCCCCCTTCAGTCTATTATGAATGCTGCTGCTAGACTCATACACCTTACCAACTGATCAGCGACTGCTGCCCCTCTCTGCCAATCACTTCACTGGCTTCCACTATCCCAACGTATAAAATTCAAAATACTAACTACAGCTTACAAAGCCATCCACAACACTGCCCCTAGCTACATCACCAACCTCATCCACAGATACCGCCCAAATCGCCCACTCCGCTCCTCCCATGATATCCTCTTCTCTAGCTCCCTCATCACCTCCTCCCACACTCACCTCCAGGACTTCTCCAGAGGCTCTCCCATCCTCTGGAACTCCCTACCACAGCATGTCCGGTCAGCCCCCACCCTGTCTGCCTTTAGGCGATCTTTGAAAACTCACTTCTTCAGGGAAGCTTACCCCACCTCCACCTAAGAACTGTACTTGAATCACCTCCGCCAGATCATCCCCCACAGCTATCACCTTTTGTATCACCTCCCCCTTCCTTTAGCTTGTAAGCTCCATGAGCAGGGCCCTCCTATTCCTTCTGTACTGAAATACATTGTAATTGTATTATTGTAAAGCGCTGCACAAACTGTTGGTGCTATATAAATCCTGTACAATAATAATAATAATAATAGAGCAAGTAAGTTAGACTAAGGACAACTGGTCCAGTATGAGAGCAGACAGCAAGCATTTTCAGAAGGAGACTAAGGCAAGGTTAACCAACAATATTTTTTCAGAACAGACGTCCATAAAAGCCTTCTGAAAAATACTCCATCATAAAGGCACAATATTAGCTCTGGTCCAGAGGGAGTTATTGTAAACCAGGACATGTGTACATAAGTTTCACGCCTACATGCAAGTCAGGTGCTTGTGAACTGTGTTGACAAATATTTAAGTTACTTTAATTTGTCCTCCAGAAGTTGATCCAAAACTTCATGGACCAGTTTCTGAGTTGCCTTGAACTGCTTGATGTTGCTTTTGCATTCATGCTGATTTGTAAAAGCAACTCAGACACAGTAATGAATAAAATATGTAGGCTGCGATCAGTGTGCTGAAAAGCCCTGCCCGTTTTTCCTGAGTTGTTGCAGCAAGTGCAAGTATGAAATGTTGTTCTGTTAATAGGAGGTAGGATCAACAAGTCATGCATGTGCAATGAAAGTATACACTGTAGGTTTGGCCTCGTTTATCAGTGAGTCTCATATAAGAATTACATTGCCCATGCTAACCAGCCGGATAGCAATTTCCACTTTCCAGCTGTCATTTCCCAGATTTGAATCTGATTGGTGGTTGTGACCCATTGATAAACAAGTCCTGTTTCTACTATATTTGAAATTTGATTTCTAAATTTAGCAACACCTGAGTTACTAAGATATGCAACTCTAGTGATAATGATTCAAAATGAAGCCACATTAAACTGGCATGATAGTTTCTGCTAATAAAAATTAGTAAGGACAAAGCAGAAATTTTACATTATAGAACAGCAGTTGCATTTCTTCACATGTTTCTCACCTGTTAATGATGGGTCCTCAGTTCCATCATCTGTAATCTGTTTGGACACAGGAACATAGTTGTGAGGACCCAAGCTAGATTCTTGTTCTTGTAAAGATATTGAGTTCTTGTAGGGTTGAGGACCATGCAGTGCGATATTGTGTTTGGGTAGTTTATGTGCAACACTATTTGGCAAAGGAGGACTAGAAATGGGTTCTGCTTTGGTTTCTGGTTGCCTAATCAGTTCTTCCACAGTTGCTTCTTCTTCTTTGTCATTGTCATCATCAATGATGACCAGTTCTGCACGAATGACTCCCTCGTAATCTGTAAGTGGTCTGCTTTCATTTTCATCAGCATGCTGGTAGCCCATGAAAATCATAGTAACTGGCTCAGAGTCATCTATGTAACATGGTGTGGCATGGACAACACTGGGTTCCAAGTCATCTTCCATATTAGCAGCAGTAGAGTACTTGGTGGTGTATCCTTCTGAGTTAACAAACACTGCCTGATGGAAATCTTCTTTCAGTTGTGGTTCTGCATGGGCTGATTGTCCATTTTGCATGATAACATTTGGCTGTGAATAAACTTTTGGCACAGATTGTTTCTTTGGGAATATATCTCCCACTACTGTTGGACTGTGACCATTTTGCTGGTTCACAATGACTGGTGAGCTGTGACCATTTACATTTTGCTGAACCTGCCCTTTATGGAGGGTGGAACTGTTGTAAGGATTGGAATATACAGGTTCATGGTATTCTGTAGGAGACTGTGTGCTCTTCTCTGTAGCTTTCCTCAAGAGTTCCTCTACTTCCATAGGAGCAAGACTGTTTACTTCATTTTTAGCTGTCTTGCCTTCAGAGCTTACAGCAAACACAGACTTCCTCCCATCATCATAAACTTTAACTCCTGTATCTTTAAACTCATTGGAGGGGACCGGGATTGAGGATAACACTATGTTCTTTCCAGTCTTTGTGTCTTTTTCAACTTTGATTTCCATGGCAAATAATGCTGGAATTAAATAAATGTCAAAAAGACGTTAATTTTGTAGCAGTCAGTTTTTGGATTTTTTTTGGTTTTTTTTATCACAATTTATGAATAAAGTTGGAAATAACTGTAGCAGGCACAGCTACTACAGTGATGTTGTTGGCTTCTGAGTCTCATCAGGGTGCCCCGCTGCTTAGTGAACTTAGGGCTTGCTCTATCAGTATAGGTGCCAATTAGGGAACAATTTGCATTTTCTCAAACAATACAAAGTGTTCTCTGATTGAATGATGTGGAGATCATGGAGCCACCACCCTGTCCCACTACCTTATCCAATCAGAGAATACTTTGCATAGCGTTGCTCTGCAGTAGCCTGGAGTCAGCTTTAATTTCAAGTAAAGATTCTATCTGCATAGAATGTTTATGTTCTCTGAGTGAGCACTCACAAAAAAAAGTATGTATATATATATATATATATATATATATATATATATATATATATATATACAGTTGTGTTCAAAATAATAGCAGTCAGACATCATTAACCTGCTCAATCACTGTTTTTGGTAGAAATTATATTTCTACATGGCAAATAATTCACTAGCAGGTGTAGTAGAGTAATAGAAATCCAACAGACCCAACAGTCATGGCATGCATGCTGCTGATTCAGTGTAATTGAATCACTAATTGAAAGGGGCATGTTCAAAATAATAGCAGTGTGGAGTTCTATTAGTGAGGTCATTCTTTCTTTGAAAAACAAGTGGCAACTATTGCCCTTATTTAAGGAAGGAAGGCAGCAAATGTTGTACCTGCTGGTTACAGTGCATTTCTCTCTGAAATTCTGAGGAAAATGGGTCATTCCAGACATTGTTCAGAAGAACAGCGTACCTTGATTAAAAAGTTGATTGGAGAGGGGAAAACATATAAAGAAGTGCAAAAAATGATAGGCTGCTCAGCTAAAATGACCGCAAATGCTTTAAAATGGCAACCAAATCCTGAAAGACTTGGAAGAAAGCTAAAAAACTACCATTCGAATGAATAGAATAGCCAAAATGGCAAGGACTCAGCCAACAATCAGCTCCAGGAAGATCAAAGAAGGTCTAAAGTTACCTGTGAGTACTGTTACAATTAGAAGATGCCTATGTGAAGCCAAGCTATCTGCAAGAAGCCCCCGCAAAGTCCCACTGTTGAAAAAAAGACATGTGCTGAAGAGGTTACAATTTGCCAAATAGCACATTGACTGGCCTAAAGAGAAATGGTGCAACATTTTGTGGACTGATGAAAGTAAGATTGTTCTTTTTGGGTCTAGTGGTCGGAGACAGTTTGTCAGACGACCCCCAAACACTGAATTCAAGCCACAGTACACTGTGAAGACAGTGAAGCATGGTTGCGGAAGCATCATTATATGGGGATGTTTCTCATACTACGGTGTTGGGCCTATTTATCGCAAACCAGGGATCATGGATCAGTTTGAATACATCAGAATACTTGAAGAGGTCATGCTTCCTTATGCTGAAGAGGAAATGCCCTTGAAATGGGTGTTCCAACAAGACAACGACCCCAAACACACCAGTAAACATGCAACATCTTGGTTCCAGACCAACAAGATTGACGTTATGGAGTGGCCAGCCCAATCCCCGGATCTTAATCCAATAGAAAACTTGTGGGGTGACATCAAAAATGCAGTTTCTGAGGCAAAACCAAGAAATAGAGAAGAACTGTGGAATGTAGTCCAATCATCCTGGGCTGGAATACCTGTTCACAGGTGCCAGAATTTGGTTGACTCCATGCAACACAGATGTACAGCAGTTCTCAGAAACAGTGCTTATACAACTAAATATTAATTAAATTATTCAAAGGAAAGCAAAATCTTCAAACATTTTTTCAGTTTATATAGTGAATGTTTGAGTTTGTAAAGAAGAATACAAACACTGCTATTTTTTTGAACAGTCTAATATTCACTTTTCTTCAATTTTTTTAGAGGAACAACACAAATTTGATATATTTTTCTTCATATTTTGATTTGGAATAGAATGTGTAGTGTTCCCAATGCGTTTGTGTGTATGGAAATAAAAGCTATTAGAAGGATTTTGAGCTTTATTCACTTTTTTCAACACACTGCTGTTATTTTGAACACAACTGTATATATATATATATATATATATATATATATATATATATATATATATTTTCAATTATATGTTATATAGCCCTATATATTATATATTATATAGAGGTTTACTGAATAGAAAGTTTATAAGTTTGTTTTGTTTTTGTCAGATGTGCCATTCCAAAACCAGGGACATTATTATGGGGGCACCCCCCCCTATCGCTTTAATTGCTTCAAAACTTCTGGGAAGACTTTCCACAAGACTTTGGAGTGTGTCTGTGGAAATTTGTGCCCTTTCAGCCAAAACAGCATCTGTGAGGTCAGATCCAGAATCCTGATATCAGACAAGTAGACTTGGCTCACAAACAGTGTTTTAGTTAGTCTCAAAAGTGATAAAATGCTAAGTCCTATGAACCTAGATCTGTGTACTCCAGCACACTTACATTGAAACAGAAAAGGACCTTTCCTCAACTGTTGCCTCCAAAGCTGGAATCACACAATTGTCTAAAAGGTCTTGTTAGTATGCTGTAGTATCAACAGCACCCTCAACTGAAATGCCTGGACTAAATCATTTGAATAAGTGTACATTTGTCCATTTAGTGTAGGTGTGATGGTCAGGTGTCTACAAACCTTTGGCCATACCCTGTGTTTTAGCTTGCCTCTAGCCTAATTTTAGTCATATTCAGAGAGTACCTAACCCCATTTGACACATATGTGCACTGGAAAAAAGGATGGGCTTTAACACCCACATGCCGTACTTATGTGTTGTCAGTTGCTGCTTATGTGCTGAGAGCACACTTACTGCCCGCTGTTGCCACAAAGACCGAGCTGTCATAGACAGCTCTCTGACAAAGCTACAGATTGATAACTGGTGGGACCATCTTCTGATGATGGGACCACTGTAACAATGGTTACATAATTGCCATTCCTTCCCACCCCTAGGCGTTCTGAACTATTTAAAGGGACACCAGGGCAGGCGGGAAGGGGTTTAGAGAGTAAAATTATTGATACTAATAATTCTTCACTATTAACATGTTAATGTGTTCTCTTAGACTGTAAGCTCCAAGGAGCGGGGCCCTCCTAACCCTCTTGTATTGAACTGTATTGTTGCTGTATTGTCTCCCATTATTTTGTAAGGTGCTGAGCAAACTGTTGGCGCTGTATAAATCCTGTATAATAATAATACCATGAATAAACCTTGCATTAGCAATCCTTTCCAAGAACCTAATGTGGATAAGCCAGCGAAAGTTTTTCTGTACCAGTTTCTATCTGTTAACAGAGCAAAAAGTAATTGTTAGCAGACAAGTAATGATAAAATAAAGATACCCTTTCTTGGTTCATCCCCATTCTCAAGCTGGGCACTTTCCATTTTTCTGACAAATGTTGGCTTATATGAAGGTGGTAGGTCAGGTATGCCAGCATATATATCCTTTACGGGTTCTGCTAAATAAATTAATGAGAAAATAAAACATACTATATATAAAAATACAAGTCCAGATGTTAAAGGCAGTAAAATCTAGGCATGCTGTTTAAACTCTGATAATATTTATTGCTCTTGTTAAAAAAAAAATAACACAATATGAAACTCACAGTACAAGGTAGCCTTGTATAAAGAACAACTTATATTACATACGTCTTTATTTGATATTTGATCTGTCACAGTTACCCATACGACTTCTCTATACAGAGTCTTTAGTGACAAAAACATGAGAAAATTAAACCATGTCTCAAAAAGTCCATGACATCTAGTCCATTTCTAATTCTTAACCTGACCCCATCTCTTGACTTTCTTCCTTCTAAAACCATTAAAGTGCTCATATCATGCATGTTAAAGTACTTAGATATTTTGAACAAGCAGTAAAAACAAGCCCTCATTCATCTCTGTATCTATAAGCAATGGGAAGAAACAGAGCAGTGGATGGGTGAGGAAAAGTTACTAATGCTGAGGGGGGATGCGGAATTAGGTGACCCATTGCTGCAGTTACCCCATCGAGGGTTGAAACTATCAGTTGCCACACCTAAGATCTCAATGCCAACAAAATAGCAATCCAATGTCTTTCATACAGTCCAAATAATATTATTTACTGAATGCATCCATGTACTGTACATACCTTCACGAGCTTCTGTTTTCACAGCCTGCAATAATTAAGATAAAGAGATTAAAATGTATATCTAATGTATATGTATATCTAAGCACTGTCCACAAACAGTTTTCTTCTTGTAGACAAATGTGTATTTTACAAAAATGTTTAAATAAAAAAGGTAAAAATATAATAAATTGGTATTAAACCCTAAAACTAAAAATTAATACAGTATATTACAGCTTACCAGTCCTTAGATATGGTGCTTGCATTCATTCTCCTTTTTTAGGCCTTTTTTTCCCTTTCTATTCATCTGGTGATCCTGCCAATAACACACTTCTGTCTTAGGGTGTCTCCACTCTGAATAGAAGAGATATGGAAACTCCCTTAGACAGGAGCATTGTCAATCTGGGGAGAGGGTAATGCTAGATGCACTGACCATTGCAAGCACACCTGTCAGTAGTAAATGGTTTGTCTCAATACTCTGACACTTTTGCTAGACAGCTTGGTCTAGGAAGTAAAAATAACTGATTTACTGGCCGGATCAACAAGGAAAAATAACGGAACTAAAACCTGAAAATATATATAAGTGCAGCTGCCACATCTAAGGATTAGTAAACTGCAATTTTACCAATCTAATGCCACGATAAGTGGCAGAAAAGAGAATCAAGAACTTAAAAAGAAAAGAAAACAAAGAGCGCAGTACATTACTGACAATTCACAATGCAAAATCATGTAGAACATATTCACATAGGTATATTAACCCCTTCGCGCCTAAGGGTTAAACAAATCTTAAGACTTAAGCACAATTTTGCAACGTTGAAGTGTTAGCAAAACCATACATATCATCACAACTACTTTGTGCTTCCAGGTGAATTATACTTTGTTTTTTTCAGGACAAATTGGGCTTTTATTGGTGGTAAACGGTAGTGGATATGTCCTAATTGTTTATTTTAATTGTCTAAGGAAAGGTGGCCCAAAATAATAAAAAAAAATTATTTTTTTAGCTGTATATTTATTATTACTATTTTATCTTATTTATTTATTACAGGTACTTATTTAACGCCATCAATTTCCGCAGCGCTTTACATATATATTGTACATTCACATCAGTCCTACCATAACCTACCACCAAAGAACAACCCAAAATAATTTCTCCTGCTCCTGACAATAACAGATATACCACATTTGTGTATCTAAGTTGTTGTTTCTGTATTTTTTTTTTTTTTATTAGTATTATTATTTTTTTTTTTTACACACGCTGGTTTTTTTTCTCTCTGAAAGGACAGAGAGAGATACAATGTATCTCTCGCCTCCATTCAGAGAGAGAAAACACGGGGGTGGACTTCACAGTGACTGATCACTGTGATAGCCAATCGTTAGAATGGGACCAAGGGCTTTTAGTGAGACACCTGTCTCTGTGCTGGAAGTGCGCCGCATGGGAAGGTATGCAATTTAGCGGCCCCATGGAAAAAAGCCCAGTCCAGTGGGCTGCATATTTGCGTATGGTCGGCGTGAAGAGGTTAAAGAATAATACATTGATGTTGATTGTCCAAGGAAAAAAGTCCTATCAAACTCTAAGAACAAGTGGAAACATGCAATCTAATGTGACCATATACAGCATCAAATTCATGCATGGCATTATGCAATTAATAAGTATGTTTTTTGAAGGCAGTTCAGCTATTGAGTTCAGTAATCCAATCAGAAAGAGAGGGTGAGCACGGTGCTTTTTACGGCAATCATCTTTCTGGCAATGAATTATGCCCTGGAAAGAGCAAGTATCATAATATCATCCATACAGGATGTGACAAAATAACCCAGAAAACATGGAAGGGGTTCCATCAGTAAGTGTGTGCTGAACATGCTTTTTAGAGTGCTCACTACCTTGGCCCAAGACCTCTTCAGTTTTGGGCAGCACCATTAAAGGTGTATTAGGGTCCCATTTCGATGGCCACATCTGTCACAGCTGGAATCAGCCCTGACCCTGATTCTTTGAAGAAATGAGGGGACCCTGTATATTGTATGTAGGCTAAACACCTGGGTCAGTTTGGGGAGGGGCGACATAGAGACCAATTGTGTGGACTACACAATTTCATCCCAGACATCATATGTAACAGAACCTAAATCTGATTCCCATCTACCTCTGCGCAGCTGGGGAAACTTCAGTAAGAATCTGTCCAACAGGGTCAGGTATGATGATGAAATGAGGCCTTTGTCATGGGTGTTTCTTCTAAACTGTCCAATAAAGACATTGGGGAAAAAGTGATGGAGGTCAGCTCTATTTGTGACTGTGGAGCATGCCTAAGTTGAAGGTGTTGAAAAAAACTACTTTGGGTTTAGGGAAAATTTGGAGGATAATTGAAAGAAGGCTTTAATGGCTAAGTTCACCTTCTGGGAAATAATAATAATTGCATATACTTTTGGGATTTTGCATTTATTATAACTTCTCACAGAAACCTGCAAAGCATTCCTCCAGTGATTAGTGGATCATGGGTACAATGTCAGACTCCTGCATACAAGCCCTACAGCTTTCAGCCCATACCTCTGTACGGGCTGCCAGTTTGAAAGCTGCAGGGCTTGTGAATGAACTATGAGGGTGTGTATCAGTGCCCTTGCAGTTTGTTGAAAACTACAAGTTGTCTGCCTCATTGGCAGATGGGACTTGCCAGTCCTTCATTCACAGATTGTAAATGTAAACAAAATCCGGGGCTGTGTGGGCGCAATTTTTAAAACATGACAGCAGGTGCAGGGAGAGGATCTTCTGCCCATTGTGGGGAGGATCGGGGGGGGGGGGGGGGTGAGGAAGACATGTGCTGAAACACATTACATGGTACATCCTAAATATGTTTGCAATGTGTAACATGCTCCAAAAACTGATCTGATCATTAAAGAGTCATCAACTTATAGTTGGACAGTGCAAGGACTCCCTGTCGCTCCCATCTTTGAAAGCCCTATAGTTTAGGGAGTTCTGGAAACAGTGAGTTGTTTCAAATGGGAGTAACCCTGGTAAGGTTTGTGATTCCCAGCAATTTCTTATGCCTGGTACACATGGTAATTTGTTTTTCATTCAACCCAGCAGGCTAAATGAATAAACTGAGAAGGTCTCTGTACTAACTATGCAATATTAGTACAGTGATCTCCCTGCTGAGCTATTGTGTTTTGACAGGGGTACCACCCTACCCCCAGAACACACCAGTCATTGCTTGCCACCATTGGCCGAGAACGCTGACTGCATGCCAATCAGCTGCTGGTTTTCCAGCATGCTCACTCTCATGACTGGCTCCTGTTGGACAAGAATCTGTGCACATGGGCAGAATTTCAAACTGTTTTTTCTGTACTACCGGTAGCTGATTTTGGATAATATTTGGCCTGTGTGTACGGGTTTAGCACAAACTTTCCCAAGCAGGTGGGGAGTGACTAGGAGGGTCATATTTCAAAGTGAATATGTTTCTTAAAAGCATTTAATGGATATCTATTGTTGAATACAATTCTAAGTATTTTAAAAAAGGAGCTACAGTGATCCCCACAGTCCCAGCCTGCCACATGTCGTAGTTGGGCAGTAATAAAATATACCCAGGGAAGGAACTCTAATGGTCTGCAAAGACCTCATCCCTACTGAACACCTTTGGGATGAATTGGAATGTCGATTGTGAGCCAGGGCTTCTCATTCAACATCTATACCTGACTTCACAAAAGATACATATATATCTGTGTACTTTATCCTGACAGTCTGGATGTATACTGGACTCTCCTCTGGCTTCTAAATGACAGTAAAAGACAATAAGATGGGCCCAGTGAATACAACCTTCCTGTTGGGATGGAGAAGTTAACTTGATGGTTGCTCATGAGCTGGTACCATGGCTCTTGTCTACACACATATTAAGATTAGAGATGAAGGGGAGAGGGAGTACTTGAACTATGTTCACTTGGTGGCTCTTTAGTTTTCCATGAGCCAAGGGTCCCCTTGCCCCCACCATCCCCTCTACCCATAGATGCTCATGTTTGAAATATTTCCTGCATACTTATGTCTTTGACAATTTAAATTGTAACCCTGGGCATATAGCTTAGGTTGATCATGTCACATTATTAGTAAGCCTTTACATACTTTAATGATGTCCTCTGTAGTTCTCTCCACAGATTTCAGTCTCTGCAAGACCTGTATTTCCTTAGCAGACAGCTGTATTTCTTGCTTCTCAAGATTGTCAATCTCTAGCTCTAGTCTGTAAATAGAAAGCAGTGAATCCTCTTGTAATGTGCAAGACAAATGTATTCAAAATATTTTACAATTCTGATATTTAATGCTCTTGCATTCCTGTTATTCCTGGAGATTGGCCTAAACAGACCTGCGGTGAACTTGACTCTCAAAGGAAGCTTGCATATCAGTATCAATGAATGCAGCACGCTCCTAGCACACTGTGTTTATGTAGCTATCGATCACTCTCATAAACATGACACAAGTACATAAGATACATTTCTTTCCTCCATATTTAAAGATATGTTAGGTACAATTCCGGGAGTTTAAACACATCATAATGCCACAACTTTGGAAGATATAGAAGTACAAGCCAAAGACATGCTGGTAGGTGAACTGGCTTCTGTCTAAATTGGCCCTAGTATGTGTATGTATGAATGTAAGTTGAGGACCTTAGAATGTACACACCTTGAGGGTTAGGGACCGATGTGAATGTACAATATATATATATATATATGTGTAAAGTACTGCGTAAATTGACGGCACTATATAAGTACCTGAAATAAATAAATAAATAATACACGCAGGGACAGATTATACACAATACAGGACCATGCCAATGCCCTATTCTAGAGGGATTCCTACCTCTCCTCTGTGCTTGCATTTTTATATCCTTCTACTGATATACTGTACTTATACGCATTAGTAACCTATAATATCAATCTCTTGTATTGATTTGAACAAACTTTATTAAAGTACAGGACATTTGGTATGTTTATTTTCCCACCCTGTCACATGACATGTATAATATTCTCCAAAACTACATTCTAAATGACAGACTTAAAAGCAATTCAAGATTTTCAATGGCATTTAATTTAGTTGTCAAACAGGTAATAAAAATGCCTTGCTGATCCAGCCATTATAGTTTCCATATACCAAATCAATAAAAACTTAACGTGAAATTGTTACTGTTTGGAGTCTGAGCAATATAGGATGGACTGCTATGGTTTATTGTACATAAGAGCAGAGTGCAAAAGCCTTTCCTAAGAGAAGTATGGCTCTCAGAAGTCTTGTTTATACCAGTAGACAATGCAAAGTAAAGCCTGGTACACGCGTAAACTTTTTTTTTTCTGTTCAACCCAGCGGGCTAAGCAGAAAAACCTGACAGATTGCTGCATTAACACACGCAATGTTATTGCAGTGATCTCCCGTCCTGTGCCTTTGTGTTCATGACAGGGGGACTGCCTCTCCCACCCCCACTAGAACACACTGATCAGTGCTCGCAACAATTGGCTACAAAGCTGTCATTGGATGCTGGTTTTCCAGCATGACTCTTCAACAAAAGCCAGTCCTTAGACAGGCTTTTGTCGGAAAGACAGCTGTATACACTGGTCGAAGGTCAGCCAGTACCCGTTGAACCAGCAAATACCAGCTGATATTCAGCCCATATGTACCCAGCCTAACAAAAGAGTAGTCTTGGTACAGCATTGGGAAAAATAAAAATCTATGTTGTCAAGTTCCCGTTTTCCCGTTTGTGACTTCTGTGCATGAGTTGAGTCAATGACCAGGAAGTCACAAAAAGCCATCATCTCAGTAGAATAATTTTATTCTCCCTGCACACACCCCACGTTGTCTTGTTCATACATCAGCATGTGTACCTCCCAGTCAAAGATCACACTTTTAAACAGGACAGCTTTAGATGGCTACAAAGGCATTCTATTGTTCTGCTTGAGGAAACAAGGATCATAAGCTACTAACAAGACCAGACAAACCTTGTATGTTCATGAATATGTTTGTTCTCACAACAAACTACCCATTGCAAAAGAGTAAAGAGTCTTTATAATTATATCCTAATTATATAAATAATAACACTGCTTGTTTAAGGTATCTCCAGTTCTCAGAAACATGTACTGATACTACAGCTTTTAAAGCCCTGAATATCTACAATGAAAACTGTGGTCAACTAGTATTCTCATAATGCAAAAACTCTGAAAATCAACAAAGGGTTGAGCAATGTAACCTACCTAAATGACAACTAGATGGTCTTATATTGGATATCACATCTCAGGAATAATTACTCTAAGAATTGAGCATTTCATAGAGTTATGCATTTCTTCCATGTTACAGCAGTCCTAAACCCTAATGCAATACTCACTTGTTTTATCAGATCTTTTAATTCAAACTGATAGATAATACTTTATAATACTTACCTATGAGTCTGCTTCAGTTGGGAGCACCCTAACACAACAAACAAGCATGACATGTGGTCACTTTTAGGTTGACAATAAAGACAAGTCCAACAATCAATGCCTTTGACGGAATACAAATCCCACCACTTTGACACCAACCACATGTCTCACCACTAGGGATGCACTGAAATTTCAGCCACCGACACATACCGGCTGAAAATAGCCCTATCAGCATTTTGCCGATAGGAAAAATGTAGCCGATAGAGGTACCAATACAGGAGACTGTGTGTACTGCAGATGTGAGGGGGCGGCGGAGAAAAGGTAGGAGAGGAGCTGTGTATACAGTGACTGGCTGTCACTATATGTCGGTGCCGGTTTTTAAATGTAAGTACTGTTTTTTTTTTTTATTCACTATAGCTCACAGAATTAGCTGTCACTTTCCCCCCAGCTAAAAGAAACAAAGTTTCCTTTTAGTTTATTTCCCTGAGTTAAAAGAAACAAAAAGTTTCCTTTTAGTTTATTTCCATAGATAAAAGAAATAAAGTTTCCTTTTGCTCCAGGGATAGTGACAGCTAATTCTGTGAGCTATAGTGAACGAAAAAAAAAGCCAGCAATTGCATTTAAAAACTGGCACTGACATATAGGGATTTATTTACTAAACCTGGTTGACTCAGAATCTTGGGCACCTGTGCATGGTAGCCAATCAGCTTCTAACCTCAGCATGTTCAGTTAAGCTTCAGCAATAAAACCTGGAAGCTGATTGGTTTTTATGCAGAAGTGGACAAGATTCTGAATCAACCAGGTTTAGTAAATAAACCCCATAGTGACAGCCAGTGAGGTAGCCTCTCTTTTATACACTGCTCCCTCACTGTATACACTGCCCCCCACCCCCTCCCCCCTACAAAGAGAACCTGTCACTCATATGCTATCACATAGAGGACTATTGGTCCCCTATGTGATAACAATAAAATCATAAGTTAAAAAAAATAAATAAAAATATACATGAAAGTAGAAAACAATACGAAAAAAAATTTTCCCCACCCCCATATACACAGACATTTCGGTTTCAGTTCGGTTTTCGGATACATGCATTCTGAATTTTCGGTATTGGTTTCGGCACCAGAATTTTCATTTCGGTGCACCACTACTCACCACTATGGTTAAGTTTGGATGCAATTAGCTAAAGGGAGCCCACAATAGTTGATAGGTAATTTCAGATATATTTAATTAGGGTACAGGAGGGTAGACAGGTAAAATAGATTCATATACTTTGTCTCGAATACCTCATACTGGTTCAGTTAAACAATTTTTCAATAATTTTTAGATCATATCAAGATCCCCAAAAATGTATTTTGGCAGCATTTAAAAAAAAAATTCATAAACATGTAGAGTCTCTAATTTTGTCCCATGTAAACTGGTAAGGTTAACCACCATACAGTGCATAAGCAATAGTCTGACAAACAGATATTTTTTCCTGTATGAACCTAGACTTAAAGATTTGTTTAGATAAATATAAAGTCCTTCTGTATCTTATTTTATACTTATGCGTATTTTGATCGATTTCCACTCCTGAAAATTGCACTTATATGGTAAAGGAACCACATAGTTCACTTTTGCTCTGAATTCCTTCTTGAATTGCAATCTCTAAAGGAGAATTCACACCTTTTTTTGCAAAAAAATAATAAATGTACAGTATTTTGCCAACAGGAAAAATGTTCATTTATTATTATTTTTTTTTAAATTTGAGCATGTAAAACATTGAAACAGCAATCAGTGGATTGCAGGTGCAATGCTCTAGCTCCTGCAGGCTAATCCTGCATCTCCTGGGTCATATAAAAGTACTGACCTTCAGCTAAAGAGCTGGAGGAAGTATCAGTGGACTATATGGGTGGCTTCACACTGATCCACTGCGCTTTGCCATTGACTTCTATTATGTCCTGCAGTTTTGGTGTGTTTTCTGAAAATGCACCAAAAGTCCTGTATGCATGGGGCAGTGTGAAAGCACCCTTAGTGCACTGATGTCAAAACACTTGTGCTCCATTGAGAGCTACAGTCCCTTTGCCACAGTCGTAGAGAGGAACTGTATACTTTTCATTCACAACTTCCTGCACCGTGTGGGATAAATGACAGGAGCAGGCTGTGAGAAGAACCCTACAATGTTGTTAGTGGGAGAGGCAGTTTGGAAATGGGGGCTGTGTTACATCCTAAATATGGGTTTAACTGGAAATATGGTCTTAAAGCTGGAGTTTTCCAGAAAGTGACACATTTTTATTGGCCAGACTTGTGTATAAAAAATTCCTTCCCTGTTCTTTTAAGAAATGGGGTTTCACCACTTTTTCTCCATTTTCTAGCAGCAGCATCTACATCTTGCATCTCTTTCATCATTCTTCATGTCAACATGTTTGCAGTTTTTGCTCAGTCTATAGTATCTATGCTTACAAATTTTTACTCTATAATCTCGATATTAAATTTTGTGTTTTTAGCTTTTTTTCCTCTTATCACCTGCTCTGTTATTGACTTTATAATAGCTTTGATTATTGTACATGCATTGGGAATTATTTATTCAAGTCAGTTTTATATGTAAACTTTACCTGTTTGCACCACCTTTCCTCACACTGTGTGAGACTGAAAATTTTAAATACATTAAGGGTGTGAATAGGGTTCTGGAGGTAAGTATTTTTGGTATGAACTAAAGATCAAGAACACAGAGATGCCCTCAGACCAGCAGGAGAAAAACTAAGCCCAGAAAGCATTATTTTACTGAAAGATTAGATGATGCTTGCACAGACGTCTAGCAGATGTAGTAAGTCATCAACAGTAAGTGAATTTAAACATCCTAAGAACAAA